ATGTCTCCGCCAGCGAGGCCCCGGCGGGGGGGGGAAGCGGTTCGGTGCCCGGTCGGTTGTAGCGGCGTTTCTTTAAACCCATCATCCCCCCCACCCTCGGCCTCCTGCAGTCCTTGCCTCCTCCGGGACGGGCGCTGGGGGGGTGGTACCGGTGGGGGCCGCCATTACGGCTCCACTTCCGGGGGTGAGGGCGGCGGAAGTGCCGGGGGCGGGTTCTACTTCCGGGGGATGGCGGCGGAGGGGAGGGCGGCGGGACCGAGCGCCCCTCAGGTACCGGGGGGGACACCGGGGCCGAGGGGAGCGGGGTAGGAACCGGCCGAGGGGTCACTGCTGCCCGCGGGGGTGTGGGGAGGAGGCTGGGTTGGACGCGGGGGGGGCCGCTCCGTGCGGACCGGCGGCCCCGGGGAGCGCCCGCAGCGACTGGGTTCTGTCCCGCAGTGAGAAGCGGCGGGGAGCGGTGGGGGAAGATGAGCCCGGGCCGCGGCTGTGGGAGCCCCAACACCCAGCGCTGAGCCCGCCCCGGCCGCCGCCAGAGCCAGAACCGGAGATGGCAGCGGAGTCGGTAAGTGGAACGGCGGAGGGAACGCCGCCCCCGCCGGCAGGAACCAGGCCCCTTCTCTCCCTCCCACCGGGGGCCCTTCTCTTCCACCCCCCCGGGGCCCCTTCGCTCCCTCCCGCCGTGGCCGGTAGCCAGAGGGCCGTCCCAACTCGGGAGGTTGATTTTTAAACACACACCAAGGCTTTGAGACCCGGCGTTGGGTGGGGATCACCCGGCTCCGGTGGTAAATTCGTTAACGGGTTTGTTGTGGAATGAGGAAAATGAGCCGGTGGGATCCCCGTTTGTGGCTGTGCAGAGTCCCTGCTGCCTCCTGTCACCAGAGCACGAGATGGCCATAAAACTGTCAGAGGGGAACGCGGTCAAAGGACAGGACTTCACCTTTTGAATCCATTTCAGAAGAACCCAGAGATCACTCAAACATCTGCTCTCTCTGAAAACCCCCAGCAGGGCTGATCCCATCGGCCCTCGGTTGGGACAGGCCTTTCATCCACTTGTCACTTTGCTGTCACCCAAAGAGACGTTCGTGGTCTTATCGGTGCCGCTTGTGTTACAGATCATGGGGAAATGAGAGTGTTCCTTTAAATGGGACTTTCTTCTGATTTAGTTTTTCTCCTGGGTCCTTCGTCTTACACTGTTTTCCTCCTTTTGGTGTGTTTTCATTTGGAGCTCAGTGTCCGTTACCAAGTGCTTTTGGTTTTCAGTCTTGAAAATACTACAGCTGTGTTTAAAATGCCCCTGAGTAACTCCCTGACTTTGTGTGTTCAGCCAAAACGCAGTGGTGTGGAATGAGGCCCTTAGTTCTTAGCGGGTTGCAATTAAAAGCATCACTCAATAAATAAAGAGGCAGAGAGCAGAGCTCTTGAGTAGATTGTATAGGACGATTTCCAAGGGCAACTAACTTGAAATATTAATTGTATCATATGACTTCTTGTAGACGATCCCCATCTGGCAGAACAAACCCCACGGCTCAGCGCGCAGCGTTGTCAGGAGGATCGGCTCAAACCTCCCCTTAAAACCCTGCCCCAGAGCAACCTTTGAGGTGAGCAGACTCAGAAGGGCTTTGGTGATGGCCAGTAGCAACCTGCTCTTCTGTCAGCCACGTGTGTCTGCAGAGCTGCATTCACAAAACTCACGTAGCAGGACAGTTAATTTTAAGATTTTTTTTTTTTTTAGATTTTTTTTTTTTAAATTGTGTTCTTGTAAATTGATTACTGACAGCTTGAGGAAAATCCCTGCTCAAGCAGTGTCCGTGGGCTGGGTCAGGAAGCTGGAGGGGACAGAAACACGGAGTTGTGGAACCAGCCCTTTGTTGCGTGACCTCCAGCCCTCCGGGGCCGTGTTTCCTAAACAGTAAACCAGGGTTTATGGAAAGGTTTTCTGTCACTGTTTAAGCTCAAGGGCAGCGCTGGGACGTGCAGTGTGGCACGTGGCCTTGGCAGCATGAAGCTGTATCAGGTGTCCCTCTGCTGCTGGGTGTCACGGAGCACGGCAACACGTGCCAAAGCCGACACGTTTGGCTGCGTTTCCGTGACAGATCCAGCCACCCAGCCGTGCGGAGGAGAGAGGCTGTGACAGCCCCTGCAGCACATCTGGGAGACATCTGCAGGGTAGAGAGGCTCTGCAGAGAGATCTCGACAGGCTGGATCGATGGGCTGAGACCAATGGGATGAGGTTCAACAAGGCCAAGTGCCAGGTCCTGCACTTGGGTCACACCAACCTCAGGCAGCGCTACAGGCTGGGGGCAGAATGGCTGGAGCTGCCTGGCAGAAAAGGACCTGGGGGTGTTGGTCCACTGTCGGCTGAACATGAGCCAGCAGTGTGCCCAGGTGGGCAAGCAGGAGACAGGACCAGCGTCTCCTTAATGGAACTCTTTTCTCCTTAGGAGGAGACAGGACCAGTGTCTCCTTAATGGAACTCTTTTCTCCTTAGGTCCTACCAAATGTTTCGGAGCTGTATTTAAATGACGTCCCTCCAGTGCCCACCCTGGCAGACATCGTGTGGATAGCAGCAGATGATGAAGAAACATATGCCAGAGTCAGGTTGGTTTCCTCTGTCTCCGCTGCTCCTTGTGTTTATCCACTGGTTTATTTACCTGATCCGGTGCCAGTTGAAAGACATTTTCCACAAGAGACAGGAAAAAGAAAATTGGGCAAAGGACTCTGGGAGGAATTCCTGTAGGAAGTGCTAAGAGCTCGTGCTGTGTTTTCCTCACCGAAGGATCTGTAATCCCCTGATCTGTGGTGTTTTCTGGTTCAAAAGCTGAAGAGTTGAGTTCTCCTGGGGTTGAAGTGCTGTGTCCCCAGGACTTTGGCTCTGGGGAGGTGAACTTTTGTCCTTCCTGATCCGGTGCCAGTTGAAAGACATTTTCCACAAGAGACAGGAAAAAGAAAATTGGGCAAAGGACTCTGGGAGGAATTCCTGTAGGAAGTGCTAAGAGCTCGTGCCATGTTTTCCTCACTGAAGGGTCTGTGCAGAGTAATCCCCTGATCCGTGGTGTTTTCTGGTTCAAAAGTTGAAGAGTTGAGTTCTCCTGGGATTGAAGTGCTGCGTCCCCAGGAGTTTGGCTCTGGGGAGGTGAACTTTTGTCCTTAAAGCTGGGCGATAGTAATAGGTACCTTGTGAAAGATAAATCAGACTTTGAAATAGAGGCAAAAGTTAATGGATAAGTGACATTTCCTATGTGCACCCAGCCCAGCATGGAGGCACAGCCACCAGGAGAGAAGTGACTTGGAACCACGTGAGCACCCCCGGGCTTTTGTCCCTGTGTCCTCTCACCACATCTTGTGCTGCTGGGTCGTGATTTCTGTGACAGGTTTTCTATTCCTTGTCACGTAGAGAGAGCACATACAGCAGCACAGCACAACTATACGGTGGTCCATAGAGTGGCACAGACAGACAGTGGCTTATTTCATGGTGTTGAAGTCTTCTGCTGTCCCAGGGTGGAGCATTGCCAAGTGTTTTTGTCACAGAGGGGTCTGGGCCTTGTAAGTGACCAACAGGGTGTTTTTTTTCCCTGTAGAAGTGACACTCGCCCGCTGAAGCACAAGTGGAAGCCGAGTCCCTTCACTGTCATACAGCGAAACGCTTCGGTGCCCAACCTGAGGAAGCAGGAGGAGAAGCTGCTGGCCTTGAAGAAACCTGGTTTACCAGCCCTGAGCCGAACAACGGAGCTGCAGGACGAGCTGAGTCACCTCCGGAGTCAGATCGCGAAAATAGTGGCTGCAGAGTCAGGTAGGAATATTTTCACAGATTCCAGCTTCGCTTTGTTTCACGAGAAGGGCTGAGTTAATTAACCCTGTCGTTTCCTCCCTGCAAACCAGACTCCTGTTGTGTTTCCAGCAGAGCTGTGGCTCCTGTTGCTGGGATGCCATCTGTGGTGTCTGCTCAGTGCAGGTTCTGTGGTCAGGTGTTTGCATCTGTGTCACTGGAGGGTTCCAGCTTCTTATAAAGAAATATCAAGTCCTGTTTGTGACCCCATTTGATCTGGAGGCCAACTTGTCTCAAACACCTTGTCTCATGAAAATATTGATGTATTCTTGCCATTTCTGCCCCACATTGGCCATGAGCACGAGGGTTATGTCTGATTTGGGGAGAAGTGAGAATTAGTGTTTGTTTCTGGTGAGAAAATGCCAGTGCTGCTTCTGTAGCAAATGAGGTATTTGGGGAAAAGCCTGAACCGATTTATTTATTTCCTTTAGTAAATTTGTGTGCAACTAAAAGCCATGTTTTAGCCACAAAACTGAACTGTGAGGAAAGAGTTTTTCTCCTTCTTTCATGGCGTTTCCTGTATTCTCAGCTCTGGAAATGTGACAATATTTGGTAGGATCCAAATCCCAGTGGTTCTACAAGTCATCCTAAAACAGTGGCTGGTTTAGAGTGTGGAATCTGGGAAGAGAGAAGTGCCTTGGTATCTATTTATGGAGTTCTCAGAAGGCAGAGCAGCTGATCTCCCAACTCAAAAACATTGAACAGTTTTGCAAACTAAAGGAATTTAGTCCTCCTTGAAGAGAGTTTTTCTTAAAAGCTGCATTTCTTTTATGCAGAATACTTTTGCCAATAACAAAGGGGCCAGCTGTGTGGTGGCTGCTTCCCAGAGGAAATGAAGGACCTACCATTCTTCCCATTACTTAAAAACAACCAACCCAAACAGGGTTGTGCCACACTCGAGATGATATCAGGCGGGTTAATTCCTGTTTATGATGGGTAATGGCAGCTGATGAAACCTTCCTTATCTTACATCTTGCAAATCCCTTTTTAATTCCCCAATTGCCGCTCTGCGCCGGAGTGAGCGCACGAGACCAGATCTCTTGTGATCTGCTGAAGATGATGTGATCATCTAATTGTTGTAGCCCCAAGGGACCTGTGGCTTTAATGACTGCTTATATTTAGTCCAGCTTTCCACGCACTTCAACGTGAAGCAGAGTTGAGGTGTTTGATTCAGTTGAAATTCTGGTTTCTACAGGGGAGACTTGGGCTTCTTTTTCACTTCTGTGCCATGGTCGGTGGACTCGTAAGAATCTATTTGATATCGATAGTGTAAATGCCACCACGTGAGAATATATGTGATGGTTTTAGTGTGTGAAGTTGTATTTGGATGAGAGATTTCTTCACTTCCATGGTAAAATGCACGTGGTGGTGTTTCTTGTCCCCTTTGGTCCTGTCACAGAGCACAGGACCCCGTGTGCTGCTGGAAATGAACCCTCTTGGAGGATGAGGGAGCCACGTTACCCTCAACTCTGCAGGGAAAAAGCATAAAACAAGGCATCACAGATGTCCCCTTCAGAGAGGCTGCGTGTGTCCTCTTTCTTCTTCATCCAAAATGAGAGGAACAACCAAATTGCAATAAAGAGCAGGGGAATTTCTGTGATTTTTTTTCTTATTTTTCCTTCTAAGTGTTGTCTCGGCTCTAGAGCTGCTCAGGCTGACTGGGGAATTTCTGTGATTTTTTTCTTATTGTTGTCTCGGCTCTAGAGCTGCTCAGGCTGCGTGCTGGAAAAGTCCTCTTTAATTCAAGGAGAGTAATAATGAAGAAAATTAGAGGTCCAGATGGGAGAAAAATGATTTAATCATTTAATACCTTTTTCTCTCCCTCTCTGCTGAGCAGAGTGCCTGGTTGTTATCAGCTGGCATTTGGGAACAATTCCTATTGACTTCCCGGCCCCTGAGTCAATACCCGGGAGCTGTGATTTAGGGCCTGGCTGGAGCTCGGTCCTCTGATGGAGGAGATAACCATTTAGCAGGCTTATTTTGGAAAGATTGATGTCAAAAAAAGAAATATTGTGCAATCTGCTTTATTATATACCGTTAGAGAAATCCCTTAATTGGAAATTGATAACTATCTACAAGTTTACTCATGAGGCCAAGGGCATTAGTGCTTTAAGGTAGAGTTTGTTTTCAATACAGGAAGGTTTTTTCAAGGAGATGTGGACCTCTCCTTGGTTTGTTGGTTGTTTTACCCTGGAAATATCTAACTCATTTTAATTTAATAACACTCAGAATTTATGTAGCTGTTCTTACCCTCCCTGCAGTTTAAAGCACGAACAAATAAATCCCATCTTCCCTGTGGAATAGGTGGGTGCTGTTGTCACTGTTGTCATTTCCAGATGGTGATACTTTGCAGAACAGGTCAGGATGCTGCAGTCACAGGGGGAATTGCTGTCACCTGGTGTAAAATACTGGAGCTCCCAAACCTGCTCTGCATCCTCACTGGGAGTAGTGGGCATGGGGGAAGGAGCCCGAAAGGAAAAGGCAAACAGTTCTCAGGGAGATGAAGAGAAAGAGGAGAAAAGACAATTAAGAATTGACATTTTGACACAAGCTCCGTCACCCTGAGCAGCAGCTAAATCTCTCTTCTTCCACTTCTTATGTGTAAAAGCTGAAAAAATAAACATTGCCTGATTTCTGCAGGTGTTTGAGCTGGAGGGGTGATACGGTGATGGGCGCGACAGGAATGGGGACACGTTAGGGGTTGGTGGGATAAAAGGTACTGGAGAAGGTCCTGTGGTGCAGCCTGGTGTTGTAGGAAACAGGGTGGACGTAGAGGGTGACAGAAAATATGATGAATTTGTTTTCTTAGAGTGAGGGGGAGGGTGGCTTATGATGCCTCTTGATTCCTATTCTCTTGTTTTGGGGGAAAAAAATACCTACCTGGTTTGGTATTAGCTTATCTATCCACCTTATTGTTTTCTTTTCCAGCTTCTGCTTCGTTAACACCAGATCTATTATCTCCAGGAAGTTCAAATGCATCTTCTCCTTTACCTTGTTTCGGACCCTCTTTCCAATCTACAACTTCCTTTGTCATCAGCGATATCACGGAGGAGGAGGCAGAACTGGAAAGCCCCGACCTGCCCTCGGTCTCCCTGCTCTGTTCTGCCGCCTCCGAGTGCTGCAAACCAGAACCAAAGGATCCTGAGGAGGAAGACTCCGTGTCCCTCTCGAAGGCCAGCAGTTTTGCCGACATGATGGGCATTCTCAAAGACATTCATAGGATGAAGCAGAGCAAAGACTTGTAAGTGCTTCCCTAATTTTATTTTATCTGGTTCCTTTTGTTGGTCAAATCATTGGAGATGGCATTCACTGCTTGTTGATTCTGCTCTATTTTCATGCTTCACAGCGGGGAAATACCTGTTTATAGCAGAATTTGCATTTATGGGTTGGTTTTTTCTTTAATGCTGACTTATCTGCCTGGATAGAAAGCAATGGAGGGGCACTTAAACCAATTAAGCACCACGTTTGGCTGCTTCAAATCGTTCACCTGAAAAAAAGAAAAAAGCCAGATGAAAACCAGTTTGCCCAGATGAAAACCAGAACCGTGTTACTGGTGACCATCAGAGGGCCAAGGCTGCTCCCTCTGCTTGCACTGGTTCCAGGTGCTGGGATGGTTCTGCAGAGCCAAGGGGTCAGGAAGCTCAGCAGCGTTTTCCACACGCGGCACGTGCAGGAATTAACAGGCAGAGCTTCTCAGCTTCTCAGCTTTTGCATCCGAGCGTGGGCAGAGTGAGTTTTCACTTGTCTCCTGATGAGTTTACACATTGATCACAAGAAGGGCCTCAAGCTGCTGCCACTCCAGCTGCTGCCAGGATTCTGCCCAGCAGATAAAGTAGTTTCTTTAATCTTAGCTGCGCTGCCTTCGCTTTTACATGTGAAATCACAGCCATACACTTCAGTTCCCACATTTTTTCCAGCCAGAAGATCTACCCAGCCATTATGTTGTGTGAGTTAAGATTCCTGGCCAAAAATAGCATGTTGTGTGATGGCTGTTCACGATTTCTATGCCAAATTCAGTTTAAAAGAAATCAAATTCTTAGCACTGAAAAAATTACAGAGTCAAGTGAGAGAAATCTGTTCAGGTTGTACCCAGCCTGAATTCACAGAACTCACAGAACTCACACAGCATCCCCTTGTGCTCCTCTTTTCCTAAGTGTTAAATATTACTCAAAGCTTTAAAAGCTCACTTGTTTTATCTAACCCCCTAGAATCTTTCTTGATGGTGAGTAGAATTCATGCACCAGGGATTAATTGTTCCTCCTCTTTCTTCCTGTCTGTTGCAAAGCAGTGCTTTGGGCACCCAAAATTCTGAATTATTAGTCAATGGGAGGGAGGATTCTCCGCTGCTGTGTGTGACTGGGCCACGTTGGCCCAGCAGAGGTTTGGGTTTGGCTGTAGGTAACTTGTCTGTGCCACTCCAGTGCTCATTTGGTGGCTCTTTTAAATCCAGAAGAGTTTGCAGATGCTTCACGTTGTGACACGCAACGTTTTAATCTTATCAGAAAGGTGTGTGCCTCTGGGACTCAGCATTCACATGGTACAATGTAATTATCAATCTTTTAATTAGTGCAGACCGGTATGTCAGCCTTCTGTGGAAGCAGACTTTGCAGAGTAAGAAAACTGCCACCATCTCTGCCAGATGAAGACAGAGAAATGTGTGTTATTCAGGGGGGGGGAGAATTTATACAAATACAGACTCCGGTAGGGAGAGCTGAGGCATTTCTTACCCCCTGCCTGGATTTGCCAGCGAGGCTCCTGGCAGCCCGGGCACAATCACGAGGAGCCTGGTGCTGACAGGGGGAGGCTGTTTGGAAAGTCTTGGAGGAGGCCTGGAGCAGATCCACAAGGGAGAGGCAAAAATGTGACTTGTGTGTGTGTGTGTTCATTAGCCACAGCCCAGGCCAGGGGCTGGGTGGTTGGCGGTTGTTAGACTGATACTGGGATAATCCACTCTATCACCCCCTGTGTCTGGTAGTTGTGGGGTGCACAAGTGTGTCCCCAGCAGCTGTGTAGCTCAGCCTGGAGGTGACAGGGACTGTTGTGATATAACAGGGTCACAATTCGACTTCAGTTTCCTTGAGGGAATGTCTGAGACCAGCAGGTGATGGGTGATGGTGTCTGATCTCCCTTATCCTGGTGAGCTGAGTGGGAGGGAGGGGGGCGTTGTGCTCAAGGTGGGATTTACCAACAGCGCTGATTTGGAACATCTTAGGAGATGGAGGAGAGAGAGGATTTTGTACTGGGGAGTTCCTGCAGGAGGGAGAGCTGCCAAATCCCTCCTCGCTGGGGCACAGCGGGCAAAGGAACTGAACCACTGGGACCCCTTTCTCCCCTGTGATGGCTCAACTGGGTGATGCTGCTGCTGCTTCCATCAGGGCCAGGAACACTGGAACAGAAAAGCTGGAGGCTCTTTCTTCCTACAGCTGAACCGTTTTCCTCTCATCTCTTTTTCTATCTCAGCCTCTCTTGCCTCCTACAGGCAACAGTGATGGTTTAGGACACGGTTATTACAGCTTAATTAAAGCCGTTTGAAGAATCACAGGTAACTGAGAAAAAAAATCAAATTAAATACACCATGGATGTTCATTAATTGATGAGCTTTAATTCCTAGACACCATCCTGCAGGGTCCCTGCAGGGTTATGAGCAGCCTGTGCTAGAAGCTGCTGGTGTTGCGTTGTGGTGGTGTCCGTGTGCTGCTTAAAAGGATCATGTCCTCTTTAAGTGGATGAAGGTACCAAACGATGCTTAAGGAGATAATTACTTAGGTGCTTTCTCTGATGTTCCTGTTTAGGACTTGGTGCTTAAACACAACCTTGGAAGCTTCAGGGATGAGTGGGAAGCGCTTGCAGGAATGTGTGTGTGTCCGTGATTGTGAACTAGTGTCTGTGGTGGCTTCTGTGGGGGGAACAGCCGAGGGCTGTGCCCGTGGAGGGGGGACAGGGAGCATGAGGAGCTGCTTGGACTGTGAGTACTCCTTTATTTGTGAGTATTGTTGGTGTGGAACAGCTTGATCTTTCCATGATTGTCCTTGGAGTGGCTGTAAAGACACAGGTTGAGTGCTGGGGCTCCGTGGTGCTGGGGCTCCATGGTGCTGGTGGTCGTGCCCGGCTGTAGGACATTGTACCCTTTGGTAGAAGAGGTTGCTGGTCTCACCCCAGTCTGGGTTCTCTGTCTCTTCACTCATCCCAGGAGAGCTTTTCCAGGTGATGGGCACAGCTCGAGGCTGTGTCGGCGCTGTCTCTCCTCATTGCTGTCACTGTCACTGTCACCTCCTCCTCGGGCTGCCTCGGTTCCCCCCGTCCCTCTCCGGAGGCAGCTGAGGACACGGGGTTCACCCTGGTGGAAGGAGGGGTCTGGGGAGGGCTCTAGACCTTGTGCCCTGTGCTCTCTCTGCACCTTTTTCTGAAGGAACAGTTCTGTCTGAAATCAAGGGCGTGATTCTGGCTACAAAATCAGCTTTTATGCAACTGGAAATTAATAACTTGGATCATACATGTGAGACGGCGCTGAGGGGAACCTGGAGCAGCTTCCACTAAAAGCCTTCGCTGTTCATTTTTGAACTAAGCCCCTCCTGAGCACACATGGAAATACTTTGCAGGGGATTTTTTCATTTAGGAATGTTTAAAACACCCATAATATTTTCTGACCAAGGGAGGATTTCAGCTATTTTAAAAAAAAAAATATAAAGGTTAAGCTCTGAAGTTATTATTGCAGGTTCTAAACAAAACCTCAGTGAGCAATTCATGAGACGTGAGGAAAAAGAACCAGGTTTTGGCTTCTTGTAAAATAAGCTCATTAACACTTCCAATAACGAGCTGCTTGTCTGAACCTGTTCAAAGAGGCAGGGGCTTTGGTGACTGAAAGCTACAGAAAAACTGAAAGAAAAACTCAAGAGCAGTAGCAAAGCGGAGGGAAATCCGTATCAGCCCTCCCTTTAAAACACCTGTAATTCCCTGTATTTAAATATGAATATATATATGAAAGCATATACCCATTGTATGGCAAAATTAATGAAAAATGAGTTCTAGGACTTCGACTCAAACACTTGGAGGGTTACATTGAGGGGATGTAGGCTGGAAATCACTTGTGAATTTTATTTACTCACCTGTTACTAACAAAGGGCTGAATTTTTAGCTACTTTTTGTTGGTTTGTGTGGTTCTCACACCTCCATTTGTGACAAAAGCCGACTGAAAAGGCTGCAGGAGAACCTCTAGAAGGCTGTAACCAGGCTGTGAGCCAGGGGCTCCTAAACACTTCTCTTCACTAATTCTCTGTGTTTTTGTCTCCCTCCTCCCTCGTAGAAACCGAACTTCGATGAAGGAGGAGGACCCGGCCGTCCTTATAGCAGAAGTTCTGAGAAGAAAGTTTGCCCTCAAGGATGAGGATCTGGCCATGAAGGAGAAATGATGTTACTGTCATTAAACTCTGTAAGCAAAAGTGTTACGCACCCAAAATTTCCTCCACAGTAGCTGCCTTCCTAAGGATTGAGCCTTTTGCCTCTTTTAATTAGAAATGGTTTCTGCACTGGACACTTCCTTAGCAAAGACCCTACGGATTTGATGTGTTTTCCATGTATTGTTATATTTAAAAGAGGAAAAAAAAAAAAAAAACTTTTTAAGAAGATGGAAATTGTTTTCCACCTGTATTTTGATGTTGATTATTGATAAGGATCTTCTGACGAGTGCAATGAGTGTTGCTGGAGGACGTTCTTTCTACCTACGATTTTCCTTAAGTTCAAATTAAGCATTAACTTCTAACGGCCTCGTTAGGATATAACCAGTTACCACTTCCAGTATCGAGGGATGTCGAACATCCGCTTCTCTGTTCTGAGCACGGTACAGAGCTACTGAGAATAAGCTAATTAATTAACGCTTCCTCATCTGCAGTGGTTGGGAGGTTGTTGGATCACGGTGGTAAAAGGCGTCTTCCCCCCTGACTCCCTCAGACCCGACGTGGTCGATGATCAAATCTGGAGGATTCTGGCTGCTTTTAGCGCGTCCCGGGTACTTCTTCACTCACAAATGATCCCCACAGTTGCATGACAGAATGGCCCCGATTTCTTGCCAGTAATTTAATGTTTCATTAATAGTCCTCGTATTCAGATAATGTATTTTATTTAGCCTTCAAAAGGTCTATTTATTGAACCACCCATGCTAGGAACCCAGCACCCACCCCAGCGAAGGGAAGAAGGACCTTGGCACCGGCCGCAGTTCTCACTGACTGAAGAGGTTTCCTTCAGCTACACGTCCTCTGCAATGTTCCTCATGGCTGTATTTAAAGTATGTTTGGTTTTTTTTTTTTCCTTTATATAAAATGGAGCCTTAATAAGACAGTGGTTGTCCTTGAGATTGTTGGTGGTTGTCCTTGCAGCGTCCAAGCGTGTCAGCAGCGGGGTTCTGGGGAGGGTGGGGGCATTTCAGCTGCTGCTGGTGCTGCAAATGAACACGCTCAATGCCAAGGATTTTCTTAATCCTCCAGGCCCTCAGCCCTTGAAAAAAATTAAAGTCACCCCCCCACCTTAGAGCAGAGGCTTGTGTTGCCTCTGGCCACCCATCAGAAACAGCATTTACAACTTAATCAGCTTTACAGGGAGTTGTTGCAGCTCTCCCCCCCTCGGGAGCACACCAAGAGCCTCTGGATGGTACCATCAGCCTCTCTGTGTCCCAAAAAGGCTGCTCTGTGTAACGCTGTGGTGGGGATACACCTGCCTGTGGAGAAGGGGTCCCTGGGTGTAAGGGTGTAGCAGCAGGTCACTCCTGGCCTATGACACAGCTCCACTTTGGTCCACAGTAAATGCTGGCCCCAGGGAAGAGTAAAGACAGCTTAATGGCAACACCTGCAGTGTTGAAGACATAGTTAAGAAAAAAAAAAACAACAAAAAAACCAAAACAGTAGAAACCCAGGCTGTTGCTGCTGCCAAAGCAGCTGTTCTGGAGTGTGGTCATGGTCACAGAGGGACACAGAGGGTTTTTGAGCAGCTGGTCCCACACCTCAGGGACAGACACAACCTAAAGCCCCGTCTGAAACGCTGCATGTCCCACAGCAGGGGATGATGTTGAACGAGCTGCACCGCAGCGAAGGGGGAGCTCCACTGCCATTATTAGTGAGATAAACCAGTACTGACCAGTCCTTACTGGGGCCCACAGAGCTTAGAAACCCAGGCTGTTGCTGCTGCCAAAGCAGCTGTTCTGGAGTGTGGTCATGGTCACAGAGGGACACAGAGGGTTTTTGAGCAGCTGGTCCCACACCTCAGGGACAGACACAACCTAAAGCCCCGTCTGAAACGCTGCATGTCCCACAGCAGGGGATGATGTTGAACGAGCTGCACCGCAGCGAAGGGGGAGCTCCACTGCCATTATTAGTGAGATAAACCAGTACTGACCAGTCCTTACTGGGGCCCACAGAGCTCTTCACCTCACTTGGGGCCAGACTGACAGACCCACCCTGGGGCTGTGACCCCCCCTGGGCACACCCCACTCCAGCCACAGGCCACCCCTGCCTGTCTGGCTTTAGACTTACCCCCAACAGACACACTGTGACAACTCCTCCTGTGATTCTTACTGTCTCACACCCCAGATGTCACCTACAAGGGGCTGGCACAACTGCAGTCCAGAACTGAGCCTAGAAAAACCTTTCAATTCAGACTTCCAGCACCCTAAGACAGATTAACAGCGGGCTTTCAGGCTAAACAGAACCCTGACACACACAAACAGCGGGCAGTACTAACACCTGTCTCACACCCCAGATGTCACCTACAAGGGGCTGGCACAACTGCAGTCCAGAACTGAGCCTAGAAAAACCTTTCAATTCAGACTTCCAGCACCCTAAGACAGATTAACAGCGGGCTTTCAGGCTGTACAGAACCATGACACACACAAACAGCGGGCAGTACTAACGCCAGAGCTTGGCCACAGGGGCCATAATCACCATTGAACCAGTCAGACCACTATAAACTGACTCCTTCAATATTGAATTTTTATTAACATCAACATTTCTGAGAACAAAAGAGGTCCTGCTCGTTGCGTGGGTCTACTACTGGCCAGCCCATATAGACATAAATAATGGGTACACTTACTCATACTAAAAAAATGCTTTCCTGAGGCTTCACAAGAGGTCGTTACGTGACCTGTTGGTCACGTAACGACCTCTTGTGAAGCCTCAGGCCAGAGCTTGGCCACAGGGGCCATAATCACCATTGAACCAGTCAGACCACTATAAACTGACTCCTTCAATATTGAATTTTTATTAACATCAACATTTCTGAGAACAAAAGAGGTCCTGCTCGTTGCGTGGGTCTACTACTGGCCAGCCCATATAGACATAAATAATGGGTACACTTACTCATACTAAAAAAATGCTTTCCTGAGGCTTCACAAGAGGTCGTTACGGGACCTGTTGGTCACGTAACGACCTCTTGTGAAGCCTCAGGAAAGGTCACTTACCAGTGTTTAATCACTCTGTTCCCTTCTGAATCCTGTGTGAACAGTAAATCGTAGCATGTGTCCAACTTGTGCTCCTCAGCTTCGCTCAAGCTCCCGTTGCCGGAGCAGCCCTTGGAGGGGGATGGAAGGGTCTGGGCACGGTGAGCGATCACCCTGTTCCCCTGGGAGTCCTGGGTGAAGAGCTCCCTGCAGGGACTGCCCCGTCCCTCCTGGGCTGATCCAGCCCCCACGTTGTGGTTGCGTTCTCTCAGGGGCTGCGCTCTGGCCGATCTCTGGGGAGAGGGATAAAAGCCAGCAGCACAGGTGCTGTCTCTCCTCAGAGTAGGATTTGTATTCTCAGTCTCAGTGAAATCAGTGAAAGAATTAATGCTACTCGATGGGTGTGGTTTCTTCTTCTCGTTTGCACCGAGTCTGGGTTGGAAATCGAGTCCAATTGTCTCCTCTGGGAGCAGCCTCCCCCCTCGTTTGCTGCTCACCGAAACTGTTTCTCCAGCAAATAAATCAGATGCGTTTCTGTGAGCGATGATGCGGTTGCCCTCCGAGTCCTGGGTGAAGCTGAAGAAGCAGGAATCCTCTCCCACCCCACAGGAGGCTTCGCTCGTGCCACAGGACTCCCCTTCTAACACCGAAGAGTCCGGCAAAGGGGACGGAGCAGGACACCGCGGCGCAGCCCGCGCCGTCCCCACCTCGGTGCTGAACGATTCCTTACGGCCTTCCTCCATCTGCGGCAAAGCCAAGATCTTCACAGGGGAAGCAGCCAAAGAAATACCTTTTTCTTTACATTTTGGGATGAAAGGAGACAGCCTGGAGTTTTCTTTATCATCTGAAAACAAGAGGGAATTGGTTAAAGCCAGAGCTGGCACACACATTTCTCAGGGTTAGTCACTCCCCCACAGCACCGTTCCTTGGGGCTTGACTCAGAGCTGCCCCTTCTCCGCTCCGTGGAGCAGTGACAGCCTGTCCCACACCAGCTGCGCTGCCACTGCCTCAAAGACCTCTCTCTGTTCAGCCAGGGCCACGATGGAACAGCAGCCTAAAACCTGGAGCAGTTCAAAAAAGTACAGTTCCCTCCCGTGAGACGCAAGAGCCGCATCTCCAGCTGCACCGGTCTTGGCTTCTCTGCCTTCCTCCTCTCAGCCATCCAGGCCCTTCACCTGAGACCTTCCCTTTAAAAGCAGCAGCTCAAAAGTTACCAAAAAAACCCACCCAAACCACAAAATCCCACAGTGAAACTTCTACATCTCACATTCATTGCCTGATGAAGGCATCACGTCCCCGCATTTGCTTCTGAAACCATTTATTATAAAAACCTAATATAACATCTCAATAAAATAGAGCTCATCCTCTATTCAGCATATGCTAAAAGGACAAAAATACAAATAAGAAATACTCTACATCTTAAATCCCCCAGACCTGTGACAAACAGCAGCGTTCAGTGAATCCAAACACACACAGCGACCAAGCGAGTGCAATCAATCGAGGGAATCACATGAAAAAGGAGAAAGCACACAACACATTCAAAAGGAGCAGCAATAACAAATCCAAAGAAAAAAAACTGTCAATGGCCCTGTCACAACATAAAAATTGTCAAATAATTAAATTGTACAATTTATGCGATGCCTCCCCTCATCTGCTGATTGCTGAACTAGGTTAATGTTGATGAATTAGCTGTGACACAACTCACAACACACAAACAGCTACACAATCCCACACTCCTGGCTCCCATACTCATTTAATTTCTCTTCATATTCATTAATTTGAGACCCACAGACAAATTCCAGTTTCCTGTATTCCAGAGCACAAAAGCAGCCTCACAGGCGCAGAGGTGGTGAGCTGGCTTAATTAGCTGAAATATTCCAGTTCCCTTGTGATTCCTTCATCTGGTTCAGTTTGGATTAAACACTGCATTCCTCAGAAAAGCCTTTGTCCAACCCCGTCACAAAAAGCTTTCCCCCCACACCTCCCGCTGACTCCCCTTCCAGGGGGGTTGTTTGAATCAAGTAACATTAATTTTCACTTCCAATAATAATTCCAAAGGGTGTTTAATTGACAACGTAGAGCTGTTATCGTTTGGAACAAACCCGGCAGGGAACGCCCTGCTCCTGCCCAGACCCACCCTGCCCCTGCCCAAGCAGCATTCCCAACTGGATTGTCCTTTATGGGATGCCATCAGGTGACCCAGAACTGGGTGTTTTGCCACCTGGACGGTTTCTATCAGTGCTTGGGCTGGGTCAGGCTTCCCAAAATCCCTCTGAAAACTCCACTTCTGCAGGGAGTAAAGCCCCGTGCGTTATTTAGAGCTCAGATTGCTCTGCAGTGAAGGCTGGCTGTGACCGCTGTCACTCACACTTTAGCCTAACACTAAAAGGTGCCTGCACTTAGATCAACCATCACAATAAAATTATTTCTGGGAATTCAAGCCTTTAACCTTCACCCTCATCACTAGAAAAGGTACTTTTTCTGCCTAATAAAGCTGACAAGGACCAAAGCGAGGTGATTTCCTATTACTGCCTGAAAATACTTTCCTGCAGGGTGGTTGGTGGTACCTGTCTGGGAGCTGAAGAAGGCAGAGATGGTGGTTTGCTTGGTGCGTGGCTGAGAGGATCTTGTCTGTGTGAAAGTGACCGAGGCCTGTTTCCTTTCCAGAACTCGACGAGATGCTTTCGACTTGGCTACCAGAGCCTGGGTAGGGAAAGAAACAAGTGGAAAATGAAGATACATCGTTAAAAACAATTCTACCTTTCTTCCAGTGTCATGGCGCAGTTCCTGCCTCTCTTAATGCTTCAGCTCTCCCTGTGACACCATCGAGCTGGGAAGGGGCCCATGGAGGTCACTTTGTCCGCCCCCTCCTCGGGCAGGGTGACCCTGAGCAGGAGGCTCAGGCCCAAGGCCATTGATTGTCCCTGTGTCCTGCTGCCTCTAAGCTCTGCGAATCCCATCCTGCCCCTCTGGCACCTCTTGAAATACCCCTGGATGGCACCCAGCCATAGAACCACAGGACGAGGTTGGAAGGGACCAGATCATCGAGTCCAACCATCAACCTAACGATGAGGAAGCCACCACTAACCCATGTCCCTCAGCACCAGGCCCACCCGTCCTTCAAACACCTCCAGGGACGGTGATTTCGCCAGCAGTGTGCCCAGGTGGCCAAGAAAGCCAACAGCATCCTGGCCTGTGTCAGGAACAGCGTGGCGAGTAGGGCCCGAGAGGTGATTGTCTTCCCGTACTGGGCACTAGTGAGGCCTCACCTTGAGTACTGTGTCCAGTTTTGGGCCCCTTACCATAAAAAAGACATTGAGGTGCTGGAGCGGGTCCAGAGAAGGGCAACAAAGCTGGTGAGGGGTCTGGAGCACAAGTCTTATGAGGAGAGGCTGAGGGAGCTGGGGGTGTTCAGCCTGGAGAAGAGGAGGCTGAGGGGAGACCTTATTGCTCTCTCCAACTCCCTGAAAGGAGGGTGGAGAGAGATGGGGGTCGGTCTCTTTTCTCAAGTCCCAGGCGACAGGACAAGAGGAAATGGCCTCAAGTTGCACCAGGGGAGGTTCAGGCTGGAGATTAGGAAGAATTTTGTCACGGAAAGGGTTCTCAGCCATTGGACTGGGCTGCCCAGGGAGGTGGTGGAGGCCCCATCCCTGGAGGTGTTTGAAGGACGGGTGGGCCTGGCGCTGAGGGACATGGGTTAGTGGTGGGTTCCTCATCGTTAGGTTGATGGTTGGACTCGATGATCTGGTCCCTTCCAACCTAGAAGATTCTGTGATTCCACCCCTTCCCCGGGCAGCCCGCTTGATAACCCTTTTGAGGAAGAAATTTTTCCTAATATCCAACCTAAACCTCCCAACTCGCCGCCAGCCCCTTCTGGCCCACACCACCGCGCAACCCCGCACCCCGGGGACCCACACGGGGGCCTGGGCACTCCCCGGCCGGCCCCAGGCCCCCCCCCCCCCCC